CCACGACCCTGGAACGCTACTAAACTAAAGCAGTACTATAGTTAAAAACTACCAACGACACCTAGGACCATCGACCATCGACACCCGCACTCGGTCAACGAGGAAAATACGTCTGACTCCGTAGAGAGGCTGAGGTACAGGCCCGACCTACGTCTAAACCGCACAACATCGTTCAACAAACGAGACCAATCAATAGTGCCCGACGTGGACACCTCCACCGAGATCCATCGTCGTAGTACCTGTAGGGCAGAACACCCAGCTCGCGATGGGCAGTTCACGCCGCGGGAAAATAACCCCGATCCGGGCGATATACCCGAACGAGCGGCTCATTCCGCACGCCTGAGAATCTCGAAGAAACTCGGGCCATCTAAAAAAGGGTCGAAAACAAATCTCTCCTCTCGAGGTTATCACTCCGATAAATTTGGTCATCGAGTGGGGCCCGAACGAAAGACTTAGGCAAGTTTGCCAACAAAGTCACGGCCATACACGGGCACGACCCGGGCACATAACTCGGGCCAATTATATCGCAAAATACATATAATACATACACGGGCAAACAGTCAAATAGAAATAAATTCATTCAATACGCCCGTAGGCAACAAAGCAAATAAAAATAAACCGACCAAGAAGGCCGGCGATGCTCAGGAAGTACAACCAACGGGCACGCAGGCCCAAAAAAAAATACAAACGGGCATGCAGGCCCAAAACAAATATCAATAAGGCACGCAGGCCCATCATCATCTTACAATCCAGTTTCCCCTGAGCCATCATCACCGACAACAGGAGAGTCGGGCGGGGGCACGATCGCGCCATCCACGATCTGAGACATGTAGCCCGTCCCTTCAGTGATCAAACCGGGATTCAACAAGGAAAGCTGGCTGACCGCGGAGTCGAACCCCTCCTCCATAGCACCGACACAATCCGCTTCGAGGAGCCGGATGTGGGCGGCCAACTCCGATCGACTCCTCAAAGCGGCTATATCCTTCGGCTCATCCTCGGCAGGAAGCATGGCGACTTTCAGGTCCTCGATCTCTTGGGTTAGGCGCCCGATGTCGGTTTCCAGACGCTCCCGGTCCGCACGGAGAAGCTCTCTCTCCTCGGCTAACTTTCCTGAATTCTCCTTCTCCAGAGTCAGCATCTCTCTCTCGGTAGCCAGCAACGATGCTTGCTCGCGGAACATCTCCTCGGAGCGCTCCAGGGAAGTCCTTAACTTTCGCGAGCTCGAGGTGAGGGCCGCTTTCTCCTGTTCCAATTCTTCAATGCGGACAGGATCCTCCCCTTCCTCGGACAGCACAACGGCCATTTCAGCCATTTTCACCAGCCCGACCATATTGGCGGCCAAGTGCCTCCTCCGGTCCTCCTTGCTCATCCTCCTGATAGCCTCAGCCTCATCGGCAGTCACGGACAAATGGAACCCCTCGAAGAAACCCTCCTCTTTGAAGCAATGGGGCAACCCGAAGGACCTTACGGCGCTGGAATCCTCGCCGACCGCCGGCCCGCTTTCCACCCGGTTCCTTTTTCTTGGTATCAGGTCGACATGTGGCTCGACCTCCTGGACCTCTGGGGTCTCTTCCGAAGCAGCCCCCGAGCTAGGCGACGAATCTACCCTCACCACATGAGGAGCGCTCGGACTATGCGGCAGGCCCATCCTCGTTGCTTGAGGAGCCTTCACCACCCTCTTGCTCGGCCTCCTGTCACAAGACAGCTTCAAGAGTCTCTCCCGTCGCCCGGCCATCGAACCTGCACGAATAAAAAACCGGGTTAGTGTCGAGCAAATACGCAAACAAATGACAAGCAAAGAAATTCAAGCAATAAACGACCTAGCAGACAAGCAGCCTGCCCGAATGACTGGCACTCCACGAGTGCCTTAGTATCGATCGGTCGGGCCTCGAATGTCGGATAACCCTCCTCGTCCAGGACATCTTCCCCCTCCCTCGTAGCCCACCTGGCGGGGTGGAAGCTATCAACATACCGACAAAGAGTGTCGTAAGCTTTCTCATCCTCGGAACCCATATCGCCCGCAAAAGTATGATAATACCCAGTTTCGTGCTCGTAATGCCTAGAAATCTAATGCACGGGGAACTTGGCCATGCGTCCCAACACCGGATACCCGTCGTTGTCTAAAAGCGCCTCCCCGTCATCGTCGCTTATCGGTGCTTCCTCCTCGTACAGGGACTCTAAAGCGGCTGTGGTAACCGGCCTCACGACATACCACTTGTCTTTAAAACCCCGCACGGAGTCCATGTACATCTTGAAAAGTCTCTTCGACTGTTTCAGGGAGACCCAGTTGTGCTTTCCTCCCCGGGACTGGCGCTGCAGATGAAAGATTCTGAAGAAGAGAGGTACAGTCGCCCCAATCCTCAGAAAACGACAGATCAGCTCAAATGCCCGGATAAAGGCGAGCGAATTCGGGTGTAGCTGCGACGGGGCCAACCCCAAATGGGCGAAGACCCCCGCCTGAAATTCGCTGAAGGGCAGCTGCAACCCAAAGTCTTTGAATGCAATTTCGTACATGGGGAAACTGTACTCGGGGAACACCAAGCAAATCCGAGCAGTGAAGGTCGGTCGTGTAACGACGAAATTCTTTTGAAAATCAGGCTGGCCGTGGCTCGCCTCAAGGACAGCGTATGGCCTTCGGCTACGCCGATTATAGACCGAGGCGATTCCTCTAGGCTCGGCACCCACCCAGTCCAACAGAGGGTCTTCTACGGTGTCGATCAAACTCACAGCCTCATCGGCACTTTGTTCCTCCCTTTCGGGGCGTCCAGAAGAGCACGGCTCGTCCGCCATGGTTACCTACAGAGCACAGGAAACCAGTCAATTGGGCACGAAACCATACGCTCGTCGTAACGGACAAGATGGAGTGCGCGACAAACCACGTCGCTCCACGCACGACCACAAAGTTGGTTTGAAACAAAAATAGCAGTCGCCTCCCCGACTTCCAGATACCTCGACGGGTCCTTCTGCAAGCCGCCTAAACAAACCGACAACGCGGTCACTCATGAATACGCCGACCCGGGGTATGAACATGGCGAGCAACATCATAAAGCCTAAAGTCAGAGCCATGAGCATACCGGGCACGATCATGAATTAGGCGCCCTGGATCATGAAGACCCTGGGCAGCGCTGCAGATTATAAACCTAAACCATGTATCTACCGGCCACGAGTATGTGTTTGCCGACCCCAAGCATGAATTTGTCGAGCTAAACATGAATTTACCAGGCTAGTCCCACGCGCACAGCCTCTAAAAACGTCTAAAACGATGAAACTCATGCATCACAACAGAAAAACAGAGAAGATAAGTCACTTACTTGGAATCAAGGAGTGGACTCGGCAACGGAGGAAAGGAATCGGTGACGGAGATCGCGGCGATGCTATGAGAATCTGGAAGAACAACAGCAGCAGAAGCGCGTAGAGTAGTAACGCGTTATGGGACCCCAAGATCCTATTTATAGTGATGACGTGGAATACCAAACGTCACCTCGGGCAACCACAGAGTTTCTCTCCTCGACGCACGGCTCCCTAGGCAATAATGACCCTATCCTCATAGGGTGGCGGCACAGCTCCCAAAAGATACCTCGCGTGCTCGACAGACGCGTGCCGTTGAGGAATCCCCGAGCATTCCCCGCGAGGAGCACCCCCACGAGGAGCTGCGTCTCTGACCCGGGCACGAGGCCCCGAAACGGAAGCAACCTAAGATCAAGCCATGGCTCCTAACCCAAGGAACCACGACTTGGGGGGCTCCTGTTCTGGACTGGACCCGACTGGCCCAATAGCATTGATAAGGCCCAATCCAAACGGACTTGCTGGGGGCCACGCCGACCAAAGGATCACAGTCGTGCCCGACGTACTCCCTGGGGCTACTTGCTCGACCTCATACTGTCCAACTCGACCTCACCTCGAGCACCCCTCTTAGGGCAGACTCAGTCCACCGCACTCTCAACGGGACTCCGAAAAGACCGTGTCTCTGTCCGCCCGCACTTCACGCAGAACATCCAGGGAGGGGACCACGTGCGGGTTCCCACTACGCACGTAGAACCTGGCAGTTCCTCCATTGGGCCAAACCTGCCCGGCCCAATGAAGGAACCTTGACCCAGCGCTGGGGGCTATAAATACCCTCTGTTTCCAGAGGGTCAGGTATTCATCATTTCTACCCATACTCTTACTATTGTCTGCTCGTGCTCTTACTCACTTCAGCATCGGAGTGTCTTGCAGGTACCCCCACCTCGTTCAAAACTTCAACTCGGAGCCAACCGTGATGGTCCAAGTCTGATCAGGTTAGATCAATTATATTTATTAGTATATTTATTAGTATTTATTAGTATTCATGATCTTTAAAATTCTTCAATAAAATCCAAATGCATTATGGTAAAGCATTTATCACAGTTAATAGACTTGGTCTTCACATACCGTATTACAATTCTTCTATAAGCAAACACAAGCATAGAAATTGATAATTGATTTGGTGTCATGTTTGATTCGCAATGGATTGGACAGAAACATGATAGTAATTTTGCAAAACTACATTGAGTTTTTCCACTGTAATTTTGACAAACTATTCATCTAAATTCTATGATCAGTCACCCCCTCTATAATTTGTTGACTTTAGGCAACTTTACATTCTTTGATCACTCACCCCTTGCCTTGCATTACATGTGCCATCATTAGAATAATTATGAAATTTGGATGAAACTATAAACATATTCTAGAAGGCCATTTTGGCAAACATTTGGCTGATATCATTTGTAACTGACAAATTGGTTTTGATACTAGGGGTGTTTGAATTGGTGATAAAACAAAGTGAGAGTAATAGTAATAAGATTTCAAAATTTGAAACCACTCCGTTTTCCATCATACCACAGTATTTTAGACTCGTCAATATTCATCACAATACTTATATCCCCGCATATTACAAGTGCAAAAAATGTATTTAATAACAATGAAAATATAGGTCTGTTTGGAAATGGTAAAATTAGCCCAAAGTTTTTAATCAAAATGCACTACTTGGTGATCTTGTAATTCTGCAAATCAAAGAAAAATTCAGTTATCCATATTTATAGATAACAAGAATATACAACATCAAAACCATTGTTTGATGTATTAAACAAATTCCAAATGAGACTGACCTTGACCCTTTTCAGTAGCTCTTTAGCATTGCTGTCCTTTCTGAAGTGTTCCCTCACAGGCTGCACATTGCAAGAAACAATCATTTAGTAAACAAGGCAAAGGCACAAAGCAACTTCCCATCAGAGCCCCACCAAAAAAGACATTTATGTTAAAATAAAATGCAGAACGATTGAAGTGTTGGTACACAACATAAGCAGATATACCAGTAGCACTTTATTTGGAGGTTGTGATGTATTAAAAATTTAAATTTATTTCTGACATCAGTTAGAATGAGTTTATATTGATGTAAACTTAACTATGCAGAGAACAAATAAAATTCTTGAATGTCTATAACAGTAGTTACTTGGTTGATTCTTTATAAGTTATAACAGCTACTAGCACTGCACCATCTATATAAAATGGCATTTCCACTCGCAATGATAGTTTCCACTAAATAGCGGTCTCGGTCTATCATAAATCCATCACATTAAATTTTCAAACCCAACACGTTACAAGTAAACTAACAAATAAGAATATAGAATCTAATATATTTGAAGTAGTACATGTATACCAGAACCAAAAGCATTCTATAACATCATTTCAATGCTGAGGAAGAATACTGTCAACCAAGTACATATAGTGGAGATTATTATTAAGGCTAAAGAAGAAGTGCGCAAAGATGCATAAACATAACCAGAAAACATTACCTCTAGAATTTTATTCAATGACTTTGACAGAGCTGGTTTAAGGTCAGCTGGATGTAACTCTCCACTTCCATAGTCAGCAATCAACTCTTCAAAGTTTTTGAACGTCCTACATTGAATGAAAGTATGAACATATATCAACCAAACAATTGAATAGAAGAACCAAAAAGTTAGAAATAGAATTAAAGCAACCAGAATGGTTCAAGAAACTATTACTATAAATGGAACATGAAGTTCAAAATGGGGAAATAAAAAAACTTACTTATTCCCTCCATTATCTGCTTTACGCTCCACAGTAAACTCGTGAAACCAAGGTAAAATAATATATTTAATGTACTCCAAGCATGGGTTTCCTTCCACGACATTTGGTGGGCAATATGCCTTTTTTATTTTCAGATTCACATCAGCCTATGATATTCAAATACAAAGATTGAACCGAGGACATTATTTAAAACTGCTTATCAAAAACAAAATTGAAACAAAATCACATAAAAAAGAATGAATTTTTTTACCATAAAGGAATAAATAGCCACAATCATATATAAAGTCACAAACTTCTATTCCTTCATTCAAAATATTTGTCAAATTCACTTTTCATGTTTTTGAAAAATTAGCAAAATAAATTTTTCCGTAGCTGTCATCAAGTTCAAAACATAACTAGGCAGGACAACTAAAATTTTCCTTTTTAACAATGACAAATTTAATTTTCCTCTTATCAGCTTACCTCCTCATCTTCCATGAAAATGGATGATAAAGGGTCACTTTTTGACATCTTCTCTTGCCCTTGCTGTAGACCAGGAAGCATGTCTGAAAATCACCCGAGAATCAATTAGTAAGTGACACACGACTTCAATATACACTAACTGAAAGGAAATTTAAAGATTACGGTGTGATAAGATGATGGGCTTGTTCTTCCTCTTAATAACATCACAATACTCTCTGGCAAGTACATTCACTTTTCTCTGATCCATTCCCAATTGGCATATGTCAGCCTATTTTAAGATAAAAATATTCATGCATTATTCACCAATATGTTTCAAGCAAATTAACAGCGTCAGATGAAGATAGAACATAATAAACAGCACAACATCTAAATACATATAAGAGACTAGGACGGAAACATCCAAGAACAGAACAATTGAAATTAAAGAGTTAACAACACATCCAGTACATGCAGTTAACACATCCAAGGCTGCAATAACGATTTAAAAATGTCTTTCTTTTATAGTGAAATATAGTAGTCATAGAAAGAAAAAAAATAGTAGTCATAATCAATTTTATAAAATCCAATCATTTTAAGTGAATTACACACTAAAAATCTAATAACTTGTAGACCTGCCACATTTGTATATCAGCAAAATATGTCTACTGAAAAACAAGATTCCACAAGCAGAATAGTTTTTCACTAGCAAAATTATGAATTTACTTTATTACTACGACATGTCAACGTTTAAGTTTTCCACAGAAACCCAGGAAAAAATGTTTCATTTTCTCGCTGTGGGGTGCTCTCTTTACATTTTCTAATTAAAACCATCTATTGACATGCCTCACTAGTTCCAATTCAATTTTTGTAGAGACAAATCCTAAGAAAATCACTGTTCAATCAAATTCACATTGGCAATTATCATCAAATGAAATATAGCCGGGAAATGACAAAGCCACTTGATCAACTATCTGCATTCTAAATTTCAGTTACAATACAGAGAAACAGATATAAAAGCAAACATCCATTCAATTATAACTTAAAATTTGAAATAACCAAAACTGCAATATAAAAAGATATTCTGTTTCTCAAAAATAAAGCAAACCACATTCAGAACAACAAAGTATGAAAGGTCCTAGCATGATTAAAATAGATAAAACAGGTAAAACTCAAGCTTCAAGCTTCAGCCCTCTCTTCCTCCAATACTAAAGTCTTTCCTGTTGGCTTGGCCAATAGATCTGTGTATTCTTGGAATGGAGATTTACTGAAGCGAGTCTCCTTCCAGAATTCAGGGGATCAGTGCAATCATCAAAATATAGGGAAAGGGTGAGTGAACTTTACCTTGAGGAAAAAAATGTCAGCGCACTGCATACATGGGTAGAATATTTGAGCAGCGGTCAATTCATCTTGCTCACTCCGCCCCATAATTTGACTACACCTAAAATTTGAAAAAAAGCAAACATGAAACAACATTCCAAATCAATTATTGAGCGGATCGTATGAAAACATTTTGATAATAAGAAAACCTGATAATCCTTTTAAGATTGTTCTTCTGAGCTATATCCAACACAAGAGGCCAATACTCATCCGCTTTGGAATTAATCTCTTTGGACGACCACAAAAAGTCAACTTTCCCCCCTTCCAGATCCATCCCAACAGCTTTCCAAATCTCGATCATGTAGCGGCCAACAACTTCAATTTTCTTCAAATCTCCATCCATTTTGTTATTAAGCTTAGCATACCAATCAGCGACCCACATTTTGACTCGGCAACCAGCAGCCGTTAGCTTGTTCACATTGATTGCTTTCATGACACCCTAGATATAATACACGCACAAAATGTCACTATGAAATCACACAAAATCAAGTATCTATTTCAGATCCATGCTCTAATAAATAAATAATGAGGTGAGACCTGAGCAATGTGCATTCTTCCAGAAGGTTCGAAGCCATCATAGCAAATAGGTTCGGGTTTTTTGGCGAGGAGGTTAAAGAGTTCTTCATCTTGAATGCACTCTTCTCCGACGCTTCTAACAATCTCAAATCTCTGCTCAGCACTCACACTCAATCTGCATAAATTCGAAAGTGAAGATTGATAACAGAACAAGAGGGAAAGGTGCGTGGTAGTAATAACAGAAACTTACGGTGGAGTTGATGGAATTGTGGTGGAAGATTCGGCGACGGACATCGATTCCAGTGCTTCGGCGGCAGCGGCGGCGGCGGCGGCTTCTTCTGCCATTTCCAATTTGTGATTGAAACTGCCAACAGTGCTTGTGTTTTAGGGTTTTGTCGCGCCACTTCAATCTCAGCCGTAAACAGCACGAGTGTACCTCAACTATTTAATTTATAATAATAGATGCACGTATCTTTCAAAATTGTATTATAATATGGCAAAATATTTATTTTAATTCTTTAATTATAGGTCATGATTTACTTTGGTTCTTTATCTTTTTTTTATGCTAAAATGATCATTTAAGTTTTAAAATGTAACCACGTTAGTTCTTCCGTTAGTGAAACGTTAGTGAAATATAAAAAGCAGATTTCATGTGGCAGTTGTCATGCTTGAAGTTGTTTGTTGGAGGCAACGTGGCAGAGAATAAGGACAGACAATCTCTCAAAGTTGAAGATAGCAAATGCATGTTCTGTTTGTCCAAAACGAAAGCCAAAGAAAAGATGAAGAGGCTTGTGAAGCTTGAGAAGGTGACTTCGTAGGTGATTGTTTTCCAGGTATGTTATTCTTGTTTTGTCTTCGTAACTAAATATTTTATATGGGATTCTGAATATTTGTTATGGAATTTCTGGGATTTAGGCTTAATGGATGAATTTCTTAAACTCGTAATCCACCACAGTGGTGAGTTCGTTGATCCAGAGCTTAATGTCTATGAAGGAGGCATAGTATCTGAATTGTCAGTAGATGTTGATAGGTGGAGTTACTTTGAGTTAGTTGGTGTATTGAAAGACTTAGGTTATACAGACAATATAGAGAAAATGTATTACAAAGACCCACAATTTGGGATGAATGAACTAGTTGATGACAAAAGTGTCCTAGAAATTGCAGACCTATACAGGGTGCACCATGTTGTTCATGTTTACATTCAACACAGTTTGTCTCAACCTGAGTATTTTGATGGTCTTATTGAGGAGCCCGAGAACATTGTAGATGAGATGGAGGAGTTGCTTAGCAAGTTGCATGATGACATTGATGGAAAGTTAAAGGAGACTATTGTTGGTATGGATGAAGTTAATGATGGATTGAATGATCCAAGTGTTATTGTGGAACAAAGTAATGCTGGATTTAATGATGCAAATGTAGGGGTGGAAGCAACAAATGTTGAAGTGGAGCATGTTGATGTGAAACCAAATATTGATGGTCAGGTGCACGAAGAATCCAATTCTGATGACAGTAAGGATGAGAGTTACCAGTATGATAGTATCCTATAAGTAGCCTTTGAAGATGAATCTGATGGTTATGAGGACATTGATGAAAATGAAATTGCAGACCTGACTTTGTATGACAGTAATGAAATATCAAAAGGAAAAGGAAAAGGAAAGTGCATCAAAGTTACAGAGGAATATAAGGGAAGTGACAATGATAGTGAGGATCTTCAAAGTGGTTGTGACAGCGATGACAGTAGTGGGGTTAAAAGGGATAAATACCCTATTTTCAAAGAGATAAAAGATATGGCCAATTACAAATGGGAATTAGGAATATATTTTACTTCAAATGATGACATTAAGGAAGTAGTTGCATCGTATGCTATTCAAAATGGAAGAGCCCTTAATATCATAAAAAATGATAAGAAAAGGGTGAGGGTGGGATGTAAGGAAGGTTGTGAGTGGGAGATTTATTTTGCCAAGTTATTAAATGAGGGAACTTGACAAATAAGGAAAGTAATTGACAATCATAACTGTAGCAGCGAGTATAATATGAGGATGTTAAGCACAAAATGGTTGAGCAAGAGGATTCAGAATGCATTGAAAAACAACCCTAGGTTGAAGGTCCGGGATATTAAAGAAAAGGCATTGAGGAAGTGGAATGTAGGTGTAAACAGGACCAAAGCAATAAGATCAAGAGTGACTGCAAGGAATAGGGTTGATGGTTTCTTTTTAGGTGATTACACTAGGATATATGACTACTGTTATGAACCGCTAAGAGCCAATCTAAGGTCAACAGTTAAGATGAATGTTGAACCTGTTCTTGGAGGTGTTGATGATCAGAGACCCTTTTTTAAAAGACTTTACATATGTTATGAAGGATGCAAGGAAAGTTTCAAATTATGTAGGCATGTGATAGGATTGGATGCTTGCTTTTTGAAGGAGCTTTGTGGAGGTGAAGTTCTGGCAGTTATAGAAAGGGATCCTAATGATCAGATGCTTCCCATAGCACTTGCGGTTGTTGAAGGTGAAAATAGAGATAGCTGGACATGGTTTTTGAAGCTACTGATTGATGATCTGAGGGGTGGACATGAATGTCGCTCATACACTTTCATTTCAGACCAACAGAAGGTACACTAAATACTTCACTAAATCTTTACATTTATCTGATTATTTTCTTGATAATTTACTATTAGTTATGAATCTATTTTACAGGGACTCTTACCTGTAATGGAAGAGTTATTGCCCAATGTTGAACATCGATTTTTTTAGGCATCTGTATAACAATTTCAGGAAGAGGTATCCTAGAAAAACATTCAAGGATCTTATTTGGAAGGCTGCTAAATCTACATACTCACAAGCTCGGGAAAGAGAGATGAGGGCAATGAGAATGATCAGTGGAGAGGCATATCTCCATATGATGAAGACTCCACCAAGATATTGGTCTAGATCATATTTTAGGACTACCAACAAGTGTGATATTGTGCTCAACAATATGTCATAGGCATTTAATAGTATTATTGTTGAAGTTAGGGCTAAATCACTAGTAACAATGCTAGAGGAGATTAGAACTTACATGATGGAGATATGGGCAAAAAACAGAATGAGGTTCTAAGATATATCTGGTAATGATATTTTGCCCAACATTAGAAAGAAGATGGACATAACAAGTGCCTACACAAACTTATGGCTTGTCAGGTATGGTCTATTATTGTTAATGTTAATTGCAGACTATTAATTGTTAATTTTAGATTGTTAAATGTTATTGTTAATGTTAAATGCAGAATGTCAGATGAGCATATGTTTGAAGTAAGGCATGTGGAAAACTCAGCTGAAACGTTCACTGTGAACTTGAAGGATTAATTGTGCTCCTGCAGAAGATGGGAACTCACAGGACTTCCATGTGTCCATGCCATGTCAGCCGTGAAGAGTAGGAATTTTAAAGTTGATGATTATATTCCATATTATTATAGGGTATCTAGGTACAAGGCAGTATATAGGTGTTTACCGTGAAAATTGGTAAACAACCGCTGATCTTCCAAAAGGTTACTTATTTGGTGACTAGCAGGATCGATCAGATTGATTCTAAGACATGGTTGATTTTTGGAGTTTGACTAACCCTAATGGTGATTAATGCTAGTAAAGTAAAGACACTTTAAATAAATTGCATGGAGAAAAGCTTTATAGAATAAATAAAAGCGTTAAGGAATTGTTAAATAAAAAGGGCTTCGACGGAAGTAAATAAATGAACAACGGTAAATTTCTTGAATATAAAAGATTTTGATTAGTTTAAATGGTGTTTCACACATACATTCTCAATGATTCTTTCTCTCACGCTGGGTACTTGAATCTGAATGAGTGACTTGTATAAAATGATGAACACACTAATAACTACATAGAAACTTTGTATTTATACTAAGAAAATCCTAGGTAACCGCTGGACAGTTACACCGCTTCGAGATGATGCCACATGGCACGCTCACAACCTTTGACGCCTATGCTCTCGACACGTTGCACTTGGTAACTGCTGGGAACCGTTTTCCCTCCAACAATTCAAATCTCAAACCGTTCGACCTTGGGCATCAGGAATCTTTGTCGAGAGGCTCCTTCGACGTCGAAGACAACAAGATTCCAACTTAAAGGAATTTCTATAAGTATCTTGTCATTCTTTGATGAGCCTTCGACATGGTCAGTTGGTCGAAGCCTCCTTATATAGGAAACTCTTCTGACTCATAATTAATGGTCTATATGATAATAAATATGAGTGTCGAATTTAGGAGCCAACAAATTGCCCCCCAAGAATGTCTTATTTCGACACTGAAAAGAAAAAGGCATTCTTTGAGATTCCATTCGACACTTGTCCTTCATTCTTAGCCACAAATCAGTTTGTGTGCTTTTCATCTACCAACCAACTGACAAACTCAAAAAGTCATCATTTCACCTTTTCCCAAGACGTCACTTCAGTAAGGCGTTTTGCACGCACGTTTACTTTTCAAATGCTGTCATCGTGACTATTTCCCGAAATCGAGGATGCACGCTGCACCGTTTCTGTTCTTCAGAACGGTTACAGCACCAAATGAGTGCCACGTGCCCCACTCTTGTCTGTAGCATTAAATGACCTCGAGCCTTGTGATTTTTCAATCACTATAAATAGAACTAAGTGCCTCTGTTGGACTCTTTACGCTTTCTTGCATCCAAATCTTCAGTCGAACGAAATTTTCTGCAAGCTTCTTCCTCTCCAAACCCAGTAACCTTTGTTCTTCATCTTCATCCATCTTCATCTCAAACCAAAAAAATGGCTTCACGTACTCGTGCTCCCAATGTCCCCAGATCTAGCACTCCCTCTAACACTACTCAACCGAAAATCTTCTCAACCGCTCTGATAGTTAACTCCATGGGAATGCGAAGAGTTCCTGAACCCATGGGAGACGCTGAGCGTGAAACTTATGGTTCTCACTTGCTGATTCCTGTTGGATATTCCAACCAGATTTTTGCCATGTCAGGTCCTCTTTCAGCATGCATTGCTGACCCAACGAAAATCGAGGGTTTCTTCCCCGTGCATGAGGCACTCAAACCCATTGGGTTCTCAAAGAAGGCGATAGATGATACCGAAGATCCTGCAAAAGAGAAAATAGATCTTCGGTTTTTTAACAGGGGGGTTAGGGCTTTTAGGTCTAGCCCTAACCTTACACCAGAATACAACGCTTGGCTCAACAAGATGGAGAAGTGCCAGGCTTCGATTTGGAAAGGCATGGGGATTCATGACCTAGTCATGCTGTCCAAAACTGGTCTTAACTACTGTCCTGAAATGCTGGTAGCTTCTTTGTTGTTTTGGGACTATACTCACTATACCTTCCACTTGCC